TGATTCTGATTCCTCTGATTCCTTTCATTCTGATTCTGATGGCGGTGGTGAAATTCATTGCCATTGGAGACAATATTTTGTTGCAATTGGAGCTTGCAATAGACCTCCTCCGCTCAGGCATAATGTTTTCCCAAGAGTATCATTTCTTTGTTTAGCGTTYGCTTCTCATTTGCACAKGAGAGGACATATGAATATRGATACAAATCAAACAAAGAATCTTATTCTCAAGAGAATGATAGTGGTCTGAAATGGGAAAACATGCCTGAGCCAAAGAGCTCTATTAGTGTTAAATAGATGACAAAATTACTATAAATGCATGATACTTCAAGGGGAAACAGYACATTATATCTTTTTACACATCTAATGCTTAATTTATTAGTGTAATACATAGGGATGGCAGGTCCACATATATTGGGGGAGTGGTGTAAAAGCTGGGATGTGTGTATGTGTAGAACTCCATCAGTACAAATCTATGCATGGAGCAAATCATTTAGACACAAAGGGCTTCCATACTATCCCAACATAGGAAAAAATGTTTTTGCAAACGTATGCAACAGCAATAACCTGCATTGTAAGCTTGGCGCTTCCTTACACSACTTACAGCTGTATGCTTGGGAGGGGGGAGTGTTATTTAACTGCAGTAAGTTTATTGCAGAAATTTAATATTGGCCCAACCTTTAACTTGGATAATGTTCTGTTATTTCAGTATTTGGACTTCCATTTGAATGAAGATACAAGCAAATCACTGAAGAGAGGACTGTGAGCAGTGTTATGAAGTCATATGTTCATCCCGGCAGCAGGACAACAAGTCTGGCAAGTTAGCATGTACATATTTAAAGAATTTTACATTACTTTACTGCTAAGGCCAAACAAAAAAATAAGTGAGTTTTCTGTTGTGCAACTGACCCTAACTTTCTTGCCAATTTTGCTGACCCTAATATTTTTTTTATTCCCAAATGCACTACAGGGTGAAAAAATCCGAGCTACCGACCCCAAATATTTTTCTTATGCAACAGGAAACACACTTGTTCTAAGTTTTTTAGGACAGCAATAGGGGGTGTTGGGAAATAAGGTATATATTAACCCACCATTTGGACACTGGTCAGGCTTTTGAAAATGTGGTCTGGTATTTTTATCGTGTAATCAATATTTTTGTGAGAGGGAAAATGATTCTAATAGTAAAAGTAAAAGTGTTGAAATTATATTGA